AACTTAACTCATTTGACCTCTGCGGGGATATTACATTCGTTGATTTCCCAGGTGTCAAAAACAGCGATAACTGGAATAGTTTCAGGGAATTTGTGATGAGAGAGTTTGACTACTCTTCCGATTGTATTTTAATTGGAGTTGTGCCTGTGACTGATCCGAATAACCAAGCCAGGGTTCTTAAACTTCTTGGTGATTTGGATTCTCACCGAGTCAGATCATCGTTAATTTTGACCAAACTCGATCTGGTTTCAGTTGACGATATTCAAACCTTTCTGGATTCTTACTTGTCTACTTTTCCTCAAGTAGTCGGAATTGGAAACATGGACGACGGAATCAACCAAAAAGAAGTTTTATGTGTAGATAAATTTAACAATAAAATTCATGCGGCAATTCCAAAATTCGCTCCGTATGAAAATCACATTGGCATTCGAGCAGCTCGGGTCATGATTTCGAACTTGATTGCAAAAACTGTCCGGAAGTCAGTTACCGATATCCGAGATAAACTCCAAAAGCAGATGTTTACTTTGCAACGAAACTGTTTCGAGATCAAAGCAATTACTTCGGTTCGAAGTGACATTTCGGTGTCAACCCTCGTTAAAACATTCGGCGATAGCCTGAACAAAGCTTTGTTCGGCTGTGCTAGTAGCTCTTCGGAGCCGAAAGAAGAAAGCACCGACTTAACAGAAGGCGCTCGGATCAACATGATATTTCAAAAGACACTCGTAAACCGATTACGCAATATCAACTCGGTTTTTAATGAAAACGACAACCGTCAAGTTGTTTACGCGATCAAAAACTCGAGGGCGATCCGAACCGGTTTTTTCATACCCGACAAAGCGTTCAATACGGTTGCTCGGCAACGTATCGAGAGGTTCAGACTGCCGTTGATGAACTGTCTGAAAGACATTGTAGTTCAAGTGAAAGGGGCAATAGCTCGATGTGGCAGACTTACCTTGCAATCATACCCTGTTCTTATGGATGAAATAACCCGCAAGTGCGTGGAATTTGTTTTAACAAATGACATGCTAGTTCAAGATGCAATCGATGCTGCTCTCAAAATTGAGGAATGCTATATAAATTCAGCGAATGAAGATTTTGCAAAGCAAGTTGAACGAGCAAACGCCTTAGCTGAAGACGGGCATAGTTTCAAGGTCAAGCGGTCAATTATGAGTACAAATCTGAACAAGTCTGGACCGTTGAGTATCTTGCAGCCGGAAACGAACACAAAGCATAAGTTTTGGTTTGTTCTTTCAAGTGACGAATTACAATGGTTCAAGCACAAAGACAAGAAGACATTTGTGGCATGCTTGAAGCTGGACAATTTGCGACTCATGGACGGGGACGTCGAAGGCTCAATATGCATGTTTTACCTAACAGGTTTGCATATTTCAGATGAGGACTGTAAAAAAAAATCAACTTGAGAGAACATGGGTCTTGCAGTGGCATTATTAGTATGAAAAGTTCAAAAACGCAAATAAACAAATTCATTAGCCTTTTTACGGAGTATTTCAAGCAGAAGCAGATCTAGGAATTTTTATTTGACCAAATTGATTTTCCGAGCGCTCCAAGGAAATAAAGAGTTTTTAGCAAGTTTTTGAAAAAAGCAAGGCAAAAATGTCTTGCTTGGGCACTTTTTGGAGCTTTATAAAAAAGTTACAATTTGGTCGCCGCGCGCTCTCCTTCAAAATTAATGTAAAACTAGTGGTTCACTATTGGCGTTGCATCAAATAGATGTCATGGGGACTCTTTGGTTGATGGTCGAAACCTTGATGACAAGTATCGCTTTTTAGGTAAAAGAGTGAGTGAGGATTACGAAAGACTTACTCTTGTGGCTGAAAACGAAGACGACGCTGAAAGATGGAAAACGCAACTGCTACGCGCTGGTGTATTTCCAGTAAACGACAGTTTCCAGGATTTATCTAACGATATTTTCCTCAATGGCCAGCTAAACGAAAGTGTGGCCCTCATTCGACATTTGACACTAGAGTACATGAAAATTATTAAGAAAAACTTATGTGACAAGTTTACCAAAATTGTGGTTCACTATTTAATAAACCGAACTAAAGAGTTCGTTATGAATGACTTGCTACTTTATTTATTTTCATTGAAGAAAGACTGTGAATTGCTCAAAACATCATCAGACGCTGTTTCAATGCAGAAGAAACAAGTTCAAGATTACGAGGCGACGAAGGAAGCGATTACACTAGCAGACAATTTGTGCTTTTCGCAAATTCAGCCGTTTTATATTAAAAACGCAGAAACTACCCAAGATATTTTGAACAGGACGTTCGGAGAGGATTTTGGGCTTTTCTAAAGAGTAAGCGCTGGATCGAATACAGAGCACTGATTATTTGCCCAAATTCGAAGACCACAATTTGAAGCGCATTTTCTGAAGAAAAAAGATAATTGATAAAAACGAACTTAGAAAGTAATTAACGTTTAAAATTGTTTTTGGCGAAATTATGGACTCGTGTATGTAATGTAAACAAGAAGGTTTCAAGCCGCCTCAGTTCTTTGAATTGAACCAAATAAATATCCGAAGTTTGAAATACAATTTAAAGCTGATCTGCAGATGGTTATGGTCGAAACATACCCTTGGAAAGGATAGAAACTTCCAACTTTCCGCATCTTCTATCCCATTCATAAATCAAACTACCTCAATCAAACTTCAGTCGTATAATCTCGATAGGATTAGCAGAGTTTGTCAATTTTTCCACAATTTCCGCCCACATTATGGCTAAGTTCATCTCCGCTCAAATGATCCGTAAATAGAGTAGCTTCCAATTTTTCATTAGTGCTTTTTAGCTGCAAAATTTTCCTGAGAGCTAGACTTGGAATGAGAGCAATTTATTTTTTTTTCATTTTTTCGCTGCTATAAAAAAATCCTAAAAAGTCAAGTTTTCAAAAAGTGCCATCGACTTTTAACGAACGGTGTTGACTGTTACTTGTGTCTTCCCATTTAGAATTAATTTAAGATCAATGTCTCATTTTCTGCCTCCTCGCTCTCCTCTGGTTGCGAAGCCTCGGTCTCCCGATGTCAGCTCTTCAGTTCAACGACGGGACAATTTCCGGTCTGCTTTGGCTCCGCTAACAGGTTGGTCTTAGGTTGAGGCAATTCTCTGGTCGGTTAGCTGCTCCACCCTTCTTTTTTCGGACTCGACCTCTGATAACACCTTCCCTTTCAAAGGGTTTGTCGGTGAATCGGCAGAATTTTTAAGCGTACAATCTTTCTCATGACGTTTTGTGCTGCGTCTTTGATTTCCGCAATCAACCTTGCAGTTTTATTTGAAGTTCGCTTGAAGTTTTATTTGAGCCCGCATGACATTTTTTTTCTGACGCTGTAGTATATTTCCGGTTTTTTTAAGGTTCTCTATAGATCCAGCATAGTCACGATCGGGCATAGTCATTTCACATCTCTAATTATCGTGCTGATACTGAGTTTTATCGGTTTGTTTTTGTTTCCGTCTAACAACATTGTTCCTAGTTTTCTTTTTGCCGCTATTATGCCCGGGTTGACCTTCATAAAATGAAAATGCTTATCTTACAATTCCATACACCAAAAATGCTTATCATACAATTCCATACATCAAATTATGGAAAAATTCTAGTCATGCAATTTTCATACAATTTCAAAAAATCATTAAAAAAAGATTCGAACTAGTTTCTGCGGCTATTTGAACCAAATAAAACAGTCTGGTGATTAAAAAAAAAACTTTTTTTTTGGAAACAAATGGTTTGAATACAATTTTCATATATGAAAATTGTATGACTAGCATTTTTTTGATGGCGACAACAATTTTTCCAAGTACTACTGAAAATTCCCCAATTTTTTTTTTCAATCGCAAATCGAATTTTGTTCTCAAACAAACATTTTCCAAAAAAATTTTTTTTGCATGCAAATTTAAATTTTTTTGTCTGCATAACGTAGTCCTGAACAGGGGCGAATCTAGGATTTCCGAGATTTCCGAGCTCTCCCAAAGTACTAAAAAGACGCTGTTTTGACAAATTTTTGTGCGCCGCAGGCAAAAAATTAAAAACAGGCCAAAAAAAGTGTTTTTAGGCATTTTTTGAAAAATTTTAACCAAAACAATTGCGTTTTTTGTCGAGCTCTCCCCCCTCAAAATTACTATATAGTGGCGCCGAATGCACCTTTAATATTTTTTTAGGGTCCGGCGCCGGATCTAGATATCTCAAAATAGTACAAAGGGGGGAACATTTGGGCCGGCAGGGGGTCCAATCCCTGAGGAGGGGGCGTCCCCCCCCGCCCCCCCCCCCCAACTAAATCTGCCCCTGGTCCTGGATACACAAAAATTGGTTTTTTCCGTTTCTCTGGATAACTTTTTTCAAATAGGCTGAAAACCTCCTATTTTTTGTATGGCAAGTTTATATATGCCTTGATCATTGTCTGATAATTTGATCATTCTAATTTTAGAAATAATCATCTTTGAAATTTTTTGCCAACATTTAAAAGTTTGATCCTTCAATTATATGATTTGTGAAAAGAAGTCTTACACAATTCAGGTCGTTTCCAATGCATTGTAAATGCTAGACGATCAACATTTTGATGACTCTAGCTCTGAGTGAACCATGGTTGTTCGTCACTTGTGTTCGGTCACGAACACATCCCAAAAATTTTGAGAAAATTTTTTAAAAATTTCTTGGTTTATGAAAAAATGCTTGTCCTACATTTTTCATTGATGAAAAAACGCTTATCTTAGAGTTTTGTCAACATTTTCTGTATCTAAGGAATTGTACGAAATTGCATGATAAGCTTTTTTTTCATATATGAAAATTGTATGATGAGCATTTTTGTTCAACCCGGGTTGTTTGTTCGACTTGTCTACAGCATCCATGGTCCCCATCGGGAAAAATGGTTCCTCCATTTTTCTTTACAAATTTTTTTTGCATATCTCTTTTAAACCTAAAAAATGGCCCGCTTTATTAGATCCGTTTTTCATAGTTAATCCGGTTCACTATTGGCGTCGCATCAAATGGATGTCATGGGGGACTCTTTGGTTGATGGTCGAAACCTTGATGACGAGTATCGCTTTTTAGGTAAAAGAGTGAGTGAGGATTACGAAAGACTTACTCTTGTGGCTGAAAACGAAGACGACGCTGAAAGATGGAAAACGCAACTGCTACGCGCTGGTGTATTTCCAGTAAACGACAGTTTCCAGGATTTATCTAACGATATTTTCCTCAATGGCCAGCTAAACGAAAGTGTGGCCCTCATTCGACATTTGACACTAGAGTACATGAAAATTATTAAGAAAAACTTATGTGACAAGTTTACCAAAATTGTGGTTCACTATTTAATAAACCGAACTAAAGAGTTCGTTATGAATGACTTGCTACTTTATTTATTTTCATTGAAAAAAGACTGTAAATTGCTCAAAACATCATCAGACGCCGTTTCAATGCAGAAGAAACAAGTTCAAGATTACGAGGCGACGAAGGAAGCGATTACACTAGCCGACAATTTGTGCTTTTCGCAAATTCAGCCGTTTTATATTAAAAACGCAGAAACTACCCAAGATATTTTGAACAGGACGTTCGGAGAGGATTTTGGGCTTTTCTAAAGAGTTAGCGCTGGATCGAATACAGAGCACTGATTATTTGCCCAAATTCGAAGACCACAATTTGAAGCGCATTTTCTGAAGAAAAAAGATAATTGATAAAAACGAACTTAGAAAGTAATTAACGTTTAAAATTGTTTTTGGCGAAATTTTGGACTCGTGTATGTAATGTAAACAAGAAGGTTTCAAGCCGCTTCAGTTCTTTGAATTGAACCAAATAAATATCCGAAATTTGAAATACAATTTAAAGCTGATCTGCAGATGGTTATGGTCGAAACATACCCTTGGAAAGGATAGAAACTTCCAACTTTCCGCATCTTCTGTCCCTTTCATAAATCAAACTACCTCAATCAAACTTCAGTCGTATAATCTCGATAGGATTAGCGGAGTTTGTCAATTTTTCCACAATTTCCGCCCACCTTATAGCTAAGTTCATCTCCGCTCAAATGATCCGTAAATAGAGTAGCTTCCAATTTTTCATTAGTGCTTTTTAGCTTCAAACTTTTCCTGAGAGCTAGACTTGGAATGAGAGAAATTTATTTTTTTTTCATTTTTTCACTGCTATAAAAAAATCCTAAAAAGTCATGTTTTCAAAAAGTGCCATCGACTTTTAACGAACGGTGTTGACTGTTACTTGTGTCTTCCCATTTAGAATTAATTTAAGATCAATGTCTCATTTTCTGCCTCCTCGCTCTCCTCTGGTTGCGAAGCCTCGGTCTCCCGATGTCAGCTCTTCAGTTCAACGACGGGACAATTTCCGGTCTGCCTTGGCTCCGCTAACAGGTTGGTCTTAGGTTGAGGCAATTCTCTGGTCGGTTAGCTGCTCCACCCTTCTTTTTTCGGACTCGACCTCTGATAACACCTTCCCTTTCAAAGGGTTTGTCGGTGAATCGGCAGAATTTTTAAGCGTACAATCTTTCTCATGACGTTTTGTGCTGCGTCTTTGATTTTCGCAATCAACCTTGCAGTTTTATTTGAAGTTCGCTTGAAGTTTTATTTGAGCCCGCATGACATTTTTTTTCTGACGCTGTAGTATATTTCCGGTTTTTTTAAGGTTCTCTATAGATCCAGCATAGTCACGATCGGGCATAGTCATTTCACATCTCTAATTATCGTGCTGATACTGAGTTTTATCGGTTTGTTTTTGTTTCCGTCTAACAACATTGTTCCTAGTTTTCTTTTTGCCGCTATTATGCCCGGGTTGACCTTCATAAAATGAAAATGCTTATCTTACAATTCCATACACCAAAAATGCTTATCATACAATTCCATACATCAAATTATGGAAAAATTCTAGTCATGCAATTTTCATACAATTTCAAAAAATCATTAAAAAAAGATTCGAACTAGTTTCTGCGGCTATTTGAACCAAATAAAACAGTCTGGTGATTAAAAAAAAAACTTTTTTTTTGGAAACAAATGGTTTGAATACAATTTTCATATATGAAAATTGTATGACTAGCATTTTTTTGATGGCGACAACAATTTTTCCAAGTACTACTGAAAATTCCCCAATTTTTTTTTTCAATCGCAAATCGAATTTTGTTCTCAAACAAACATTTTCCAAAAAAATTTTTTTTGCATGCAAATTTAAATTTTTTTGTCTGCATAACGTAGTCCTGAACAGGGGCGAATCTAGGATTTCCGAGATTTCCGAGATTTCCGAGCTCTCCCAAAGTACTAAAAAGACGCTGTTTTGACAAATTTTTGTGCGCCGCAGGCAAAAAATTAAAAACAGGCCAAAAAAAGTGTTTTACGGCATTTTTTGAAAAATTTTAACCAAAACAATTGCGTTTTTTGTCGAGCTCTCCCCCCTCAAAATTACTATATAGTGGCGCCGAATGCACCTTTAATATTTTTTTAGGGTCCGGCGCCGGATCTAGATATCTCAAAATAGTACAAAGGGGGGAACATTTGGGCCGGCGGGCCGGCAGGGGGTCCAATCCCTGAGGAGGGGGCGTCCCCCCCCCCCGCCCCCCCCCCCCCAACTAAATCTGCCCCTGGTCCTGGATACACAAAAATTGGTTTTTTCCGTTTCTCTGGATAACTTTTTTCAAATAGGCTGAAAACCTCCTATTTTTTGTATGGCAAGTTTATATATGCCTTGATCATTATCTGATAATTTGATCATTCTAATTTTAGAAATAATCATCTTTGAATTTTTTTGCCAACATTTAAAAGTTTGATCCTTCAATTATATGATTTGTGAAAAGAAGTCTTACACAATTCAGGTCGTTTCCAATGCATTGTAAATGCTAGACGATCAACATTTTGATGACTCTAGCTCTGAGTGAACCATGGTTGTTCGTCACTTGTGTTCGGTCACGAACACATCCCAAAAATTTTGAGAAAATTTTTTAAAAATTTCTTGGTTTATGAAAAAATGCTTGTCCTACATTTTTCATTGATGAAAAAACGCTTATCTTAGAGTTTTGTTAACATTTTCTGTATCTAAGGAATTGTACGAAATTGCATGATAAGCTTTTTTTTTCATATATGAAAATTGTATGATGAGCATTTTTGTTCAACCCGGGTTGTTTGTTCGACTTGTCTACAGCATCCATGGTCCCCATCGGGAAAAATGGTTCCTCCATTTTTCTTTACAAATTTTTTTTGCATATCTCTTTTAAACCTAAAAAATGGCCCGCTTTATTAGATCCGTTTTTCATAGTTTTTTCCTAGGAAATTTGTGGCCGATTTATCACCGTTTCATTTAATGACTCTTTCGTGAGACTACTTGTGAAACTATCTATTGCGACAAGTACGTATAGTTTCGGTTTTTTGGTCCTCTCTAGATCTAACAGAGTCACGTTGTACTTACTGCCTTGGTTGCGTTATCAATGTAAAAAGTTTAGCCGAAAAAAAGGACTATAATTGGCATTCTGAAAGTTTCTCGTTCAACTATGACCCTCCTCTGAAAGGTTAACAATGTCCTCGTGCATGTGGGGCCACTAATAAGAGTTGAATACTTCAAGTTAGGCTTCCTGACTCGAGTTTCACCGCTGCATTGTGCTGAACCCCGGCCAGAGCTGAACAGGCACGGCTAGCTTGTTGTCTAGGAGAATGAAACCAGCTGCGACCGCTATCTGATTCCATATTGTAATTGTGTATGGCCTCACTGGTTCGAATCCTTGTCGATCCTCTCTTTCCACTAAACTTTCCAGTCTGTATAGCCAGGTGTTTTATCAATCAGTTTAAATTCATTGATTAGATGTTTGTTGAACAGTCTAGTGAGCTTAGAGTGTGTTTACTCTCCAAACTGCTCTGACTATATCAAACCATCTCTCCATTAGAAGTGGCTCAAACATGTTTGTGGTAAAAAAAAACCTGAGTTTTTTGTTCGTTTATTGTTAGATACACCTCACGACTTGCCTGTGTCCTGGTTCGAATTGATCTGATTGGTCTCGTAGTTGCTCCTCATCATTTTAGTTCCCTCACATCAACTGCCAGAAAGATGGTAACTCGATCTTTTTTTCGGTCTTTCTTCGTATCGAGGCGCCTCACCTTAGTTCTCTCAGATCAACTGCCAGAAAGACTGTAGCTGTTTGTTCGGAATATAGTCTTTGCAGGGAAAAATTGATTTTGCTATGGTAAATGATCCAGTTTTGAACTGTCCCGCATTCGACCGACGCTTCGTGCCTTCTCTGGAACCGACGTTTTCCTACCCTCGCGTTGGTTCTCTGAAATGTTCCTTTTACTTTTGTTTCTTCGAACGGTACTTGTTTTCTTTCTTTATTGCTGCCCAGTCAGTTCCATTTTTGGTCCGACAAAGTCTTCTCTCTAGTCATCCCGTCATTGTCCTTCTAACGTATCTTCTATCCAGTTATTATATATTTTCTCTTTTGCCCCCCGGCATTTTTGCTGCTTAAGTTTCCTCACTTTTGAACCAACTGTACTCTGGAGAAAACTTTTGATGAAATGAAAGGTGAGCTGTTTTTGAGCAATATGAGCCACCGGGAGTTTCGACTTTTTTCTAACAATTTAGTTATTAAATTTTTGAAATTTTTCGATGAGGATGTGAGTTCTACTAATTTTGTTTTAGTTCGTTCAGTATATTTTTAGAAAATTAGAAATTATAGGCCACAAATTTCTAAAAGTATATTTTAGAAATTTGTGGCTGTTACAACAAACGATCGGACTAAATAAACATTGGGTCACCGTTTGGTTCTCTGGATAGACAATCGATTATGGTCATACCCACAGCAGGAAAGCATAGCACTCCAATTTCATTCGGTAATATTTGATCTTACCACCTATTTAACCCAAATTGGTTCTTTTATTGGACTTCTTTCAATTTACTGCTGATATAGGGGCGTTGTCCTTTATTCCAATGATGAAATTGTTTCCTAACAGGTAATGCTTGTACATTTCTAATGCCCAAACTACTGCGAGTGAATCTAAAACATTAGAAGGGTGTTTTTTTTGTACAACCAAATGTCTTTTCGCAAATGACTCTGAAACCTTTTTGTTGTTTGCTGTTCATTGTTCTAGTCAGGCACCTTTTCCATTATGGCTGGCTTCACACTTCAATCTAGTGTCTCTTTCAGACTCGTAGTTTTTACTTTCCAGATAAATTTTATTGCTGTTTTGATGTTTTCATATAATTTTGTGTGTTCTTCCCAAATTCAATTTTTTTCACGGGTATTTTCAAATTGTTTCTTCTAGTTTTTTTTTCAAATTAGCCTCAGTTTCCCTAATAGGCTGGCCCACAATCGGGAGAGTTGAAGTGATTCATGCTGGCAGAAAACTATGTGAGTTGTTTTAGCTTTTTATATGATTCAATTTTGTTATCTCTTCCGATTTCATGATTTTTAAGAAATTTACGTAAAAACGGTTTGAACTTTGTTTTGAATATGAATAGAAATTTTTTTCTTGATCTGGCAAAAAATTCATTCAATGAATCTTTAACTGTCTTTGTCTAGCGAATCAACATTTAAATCTAGTAAAAGTTTTTGCTTCCCAACCGTTAAGCAGAGAAGTTTTTGTTTTCCATGCAAAATCAG